CTTGACACAAACCATTGAAATCAAACCAGTCACACAGGGTCAAGTCCTCGCAGCTCTCGATTCGCTGAATACAAACAAAGCCACCGGCACTGATGGCATCCCTTCCAAGGCCTTAAAAATTAGTGCCGAGGAATTATCCGCTCCATTAACCACCTTGTTCAATTCTTGTATCGACAACAATGCATGGCCCTGCGAATGGAAGTTTGGGTATTGGGCTTCAGTATACAAAAAATTTGACACGAATGCGAAGGAAAACTACCGGCCCATACCACTCTTACCTTGTGTAAGCAAAGTTCTTGAGAAGCTGGTTGGAGCGCAGATCAACACCGCTTTGGGAAGCCGCTTTTACCAGAACTCATCTGCGTATCGCAAAGCTCACAGCTACGAAACAACTTTGATCAATCTAGTAGAAGATTGGAGACTCGCGAGGGATCAAAGACAGGTAGTGAGCATACTTTCAACAGATATCTCAAAGGCACTTGACTCGTTGCACCCACCACTACTTCTGTGCAAGCTTAAAGCGTACGGTCTCTAGGAAAGCGCTATTCAACTCTTAAACAGCTATTTAAATGAACGGAAATATCAAGTAAAGATCGGCCGTCATGTTAGTTCGAGCCGATTTGTGAGTCGTGGCTGTCCTCAGGGTTCCGCGCTTGGCCCGTTCTTATGGAATGTTTTCCAGAATGATCTATCCTACTGTCTTACAGCAAAATTGTCTATGTATGCAGACGACCACCAGACTTACCACGCAGGTGCAGATCAGGCAGCTGTCACATCCCAGTTAAAGGATAGCGCCAACTTAGCAACAACGTGGTGTGACTCTAACTTCCTGGCGGGAAACCTTGAGAAATATCAGGTTTTGAATTTGGGCTTCACTCAAAATGACAGTAACATCTGTGTGAATGATGTTGAAATCCAAACCAAAGATAACATTAAACTTCTAGGAGTAGAGTTAGATTCCAAGCTAAATTTGTCTGAGCATATAATCTCTATCTGCAAAAAAGCTAGTCAGAGAATTGGCGTTCTAATGAGATTACGTAATTTAATTCCTACGAAATCTAAGCTAATACTGTTCAAAAGCGCGGTTTTACCATACCTCACGTATTGTCACCTAGTGTGGCACTTTTACAAAGCGAGCGACACTCGAAAGCTTAAAAGATCACAAGAAAGAGGACTTAGAGCGGTTTTCAAGAACTATAATTCTAGTTACGAACAGTTATTAGAGAGGGCAGACTTACCCACTCAACTAAATAGGCGCTTACAGGACCTGTGCATCCTCATGTACAAAGCAAAGCATAAGCTGTGTCCTGCATATATAAGCAACATCTTTAAAGTACACAATAGTAATTACAAGTTGAGGCAAGCCGATTTCTCTATACCCAGGTATGAAACTGTCACTTATGGCAAACACTCTATTAGATTTCTAGGGCCCAGGCTATGGACAAAATTACCCAAGAGTATAAGGGAGGTCGAGACCCTCAAGTCGNCTTCTCCCCCACACCCCCTCCCACCAGTCGCGGTTGCACGTTATAATTCCTTGGCCGCTTAACGTTTACTTGGATTCATTAAAAAAGATCAGCCAGTTAAAAAGTGATATACGATCCTGTCGATGTAAGAATTTCAATTTCAAAGTTGTAAGCGTCAGGTCTGTTAGGGGGGGGTCCGGACCCCCCAGACCCTCCCCCTGGATCCGCCACTGATAGGGGTGAGTCTGCTGTGAGTAATCACAATTGTAATTAATACTGAATTTTCTAACGAGTAGAAATTCTGTGTTTTTTTTTCCTTATAAATTCGCTGCTATTTATTTCAATCTGATGGAAGGCATCAATTGGTTTTTAGAAATACTCTTACAGAAACGTAAATGGCATAATGTTGTGAGGGAGGCGAAATGTCATCAAAGTTGAAAGAAAAGAAGCATGCTCTTATAAAAGAAAAAATTAAAAAAAAAAAATAAAAACTTGGGGCTTGCAGGGTTAAAGACGCATCCTTTTATTACTAACCTGAAGAAAACAGCACCATTACTTTCAGGCATGCGTATTCAGCCTCCTCTAAACCGCGCAAGCGTAGCAAACACTCGTGAAAACTGGCCAGCGTCTGCTTCAGTCGTAGCTTCCTCCCGTTACACATTCCTGCGCATGCCTCAATCTCGTAAGAAAGCGCTACAGAATCGATTTGCAGATCATATTGAGCAGCGATTAAAACAAATAGATCACTCCAGCAACATCTCAGCATGGCATACTGTTCACAGATATCCAGGTTTGAAAACATAGGCACGTGCTTAGTCCATTCTAAAGCAGTAGAAAATAAGGTCCATATTTTATGGCATGGAGTGGACTCCAAGGTTGGTGAAGTGGGAGCAGCAGTTATAGAGGCTCGGTTGCCTCTTTCTAACTGGGTAAGAAGCGTTATTACGTCATACTGAGAGGTGAACGATTTTGATGATCTTGACAGGTAGGAATACTTTGTGGGCCGTCCTCTTCTGATGGCTAAGATGAAACAAAAACGAAAGAATAAAGATTGGAAATGAGTAAACAGTTTACTAACTTCTGTAACCAAATTACTTGCCTGAGTTCTTTGTTGAGAAAACGTAAAAAAACATGAATGTTTTTAAAAGATAACTACAGAACGATCGAAACATGATTGTTTTCAAAAGACAACTACAGAATACTTATTCCCTTTTCTTCTCCGGCAGGAATTACACTATTGCGATCGTGTAAAAATATGAAGTTAGGCAAAATTTGATCGAAAAGACATGAATCTTCATTTTGCCAAGATTGTTGACCATGAATACCTCTTTTGAATAGCGATAATATCATGAACTCCTTAAATATTAATGCTGAAAGTTGAAGTGAACAAATTCATGAATTTTTAACGAGATAACCATTTCAATGGTTGAGATGCGATTAAATAAACTTCGATATTTCAGTGAAATATTGTTAAAATTACGTTTTTTCTCAAGATTCAAATCCAATCTGCATGTCTCTCATCTCTCTTCGAACTTATTTGCTAAGCGTACTATTAGAATAACACAATTAACCTTAATACTCAAGCTAGTGTTTTTAATTCTTGTCAAAGTTCTCATGTCTAGTATCTTTGCTCTGCTACTGAATGCGCACAAAGGAATATATCTGTAGATGTATGGAGAAATTGTTGATTCAAATTTCACTGAAGATGGAATTGTGCTTTGAAGTGATCATAAAACAAATTCAAGCTTTCAAGTAGAGATAACAAGACGCAATAAAACGACTTACTGTGGTAAGGGTACCCTTATGACGCAAACGCAAACTTATGTGTTTATGAAATCATTTTACGCAGCAGATTATTTGCTAGGAGGAAAAAAAGACAGAGTTCCTCTCTTCCTACTTAATAAAGATAAAAATGGAAAAGGGCGACTGAAAGAATTTCCGAAACGTATTGAAACAAATATAGGTTTTCATTGTCATTAATATGAAATGCATAATTTTATCCTTTTGAAGAAATAACACCGAAAGAAAAAGAAATGGAAAATTATGTTTAAAACTGAATTAAACGTCGCTTTGTAAACTTAAAGTTAGGTCGCTGTTACATCAGAGTTTAAGATGTTGGTTAGTGAGTAAGGAGATAAAACGAGTTCCCTTTCATGAAGATTTATAAAAACTTTGTCGTCTTTAAAGAGAGTATCATATGGTTTTAGTAAATAGAACATTCTTTTTCATCTAGTCCTCCATAAATTGACTAGGAAAGTTTGGTCGCAATCGTCATGATTAAAGTGGTGAAAGATGCCAGATAAAAAGACAACATCGTAACGAACTCATAAAAAAAAGGAGAAATGTTCTGCTTAGATAGAAGTTATAAAATGAAATGGGAACACATAACATTTCTATGCTGTGCATATGAACGTTCTTAAAACATAACATTCCTTGTTGCTAACTAGACTAACTGTGAATAGCGTTTAGAGATATTGCCGGGAAGAAGAGTAAATGATGTCAAAACGGCCCAAGAACTGTTGCCCCAGTTTATGACAAAAAAAAACAAAACAAAACAAAATCAATGGTCGTTTTCGATAGAGCCTGGACACGAAGTATTTTGAACAGGCAAGAACTTACCATCTCGTCTCATTCCCACTTGAACACACTTCTCGAATCTACAATGTTGACACTGCGTTCGGTTTTGGCGGTCGATACGACAATTTCCAGAAGACTCACAAGTGTAAGACAGCTTATAACGAACGGTTCGGTTGAATAAACACTTGCACCCTTCACATGTGAATACACCATAGTGTCGACCAGACGAAGGCGCGTTACAAACGGCACAATCGATGGTTTTTTCTGGGTTATCGTACCAATAAACCTCATGGAGTTGCGACCAGGACATAGTTATTTGCTTTTCTAGGTTTGATAACTAGTTCTCTCAGTACACGACCGCTAGGAATAACACACCCTGATTTCGGAGAGGAGTTAAGTGTGAAATAAACCTTAATACATTTTTAATGCATTACTTCTGGAATTTTAATTGGAGGTTTTGGCGTTGAATTCACCGGTATAAGACAAAGGTGGCAAAATTGCCAAAGGTGAAAAGGGTAAAATAGAGCGTTGTTCGCAAAAAAATCCGATTGTTCCTTGCATTCCCGCCGTTGGACAAACTTCAAAGATTTGTTCCATATCTCTTTGCAATTTGTTTAGTTATCATGCTTACTACTTGATCACTAATCATTTTACTTCATGAAACACACAGTCACATATCTGATATTATTAATTCATGTCACTTATGAAAGGCACCATTCAACCATTAAGTCGACAGCCTCTTCAAAACAAACATTTTTTTATTCTTCTTGGATAAGAATGAAATACAGATAAGATCACATGGATGTATTTCACAGAAGTGCGGTAATGTTAGCTTCACTGCAAGAACTGCGTATACTTCTAGAACAGCATACTCCTCTATTTTGACGTTGGTTTCATTTCAGATGGTTCGAGGCCACGTGCCTTCGTGTTAATAATGGGGGGTATTGGTTTCTTTACATTCAGTTAACTGCTAAACGGCCGTATGGCCAAACGAAAGCCTCTTTAACACTCAATCGGCCGGTATAGGTACAGTCCGCCTAAGAGATTATTATGAATTGAATAGGTCACCGGGGTAACTCATTGTTTCAATTGTAATCTCTTTGGACAATCAAGTCAGTTCTGTATCTGGCGTGTAGATTGTTTCTTCTACAGCACGTGTTTGAAAAACGATTTTTGTCAAGGCAGAACAACACATGTAAGAGCCTCAAAGGAGAGTAACTTAATTTTCTTCAAACTGATAGTGCGACTGTAAAGAAGGTGAGTGTTTCTACAATCCGAGTACTTACTGACCACAGAAGCGTGCAAGGGTAAAGTTCCAGAAACTTGTGATAAATATTTTAAGTTAATTTGAACGAGAATCATCATTTGTTTACCAAACAGTATTATTTGCAATCAAACTGAGCAGATTGGTCTCTAGTAAATTAAACTCAATATAAATTCTTGAAAATCACCGTGAATTAAACGCAGATGTTTTTAGCTGTCCAATTTACTGGCAACTTTTCTCGAGACAAGCAGTATTGCATTCAACAATAGCTTAACAACTCGCGCGATTAAGAAAGAATAAAGAAACAACAACCACATGCACTTTGGTATTATCAGCTGTTTACTAAGGAATCTACTTTTCCCTGCAGGTTTTAATTAAGCTTCTCGTTCAGGTGGTATTATTACCTAGCGTCTTTAATGCTGGTGAGCTTAGACTAAAAGTGTTGTGAGCGTTCTGTTTCCGCTTGCTGGTCACGTAGGTTAATAACCAAGATCGTTCTCGTCTGTGTTCTGGCGGCCCATTGGTCGATTCAGTTTCCAAGCGGATGCTTTATCAGGTTATAGAGCCCCGCATGTAACAAGTTATGCCATGAAAGGAATAGAACGCATTTTTTCCGGGCTTTATAACGTGATTAAGCCACTTGCGATGTTGTGAGAAAGCTCGGAAGACTTTCCGAGTTTTCACCTAGCATCCCGCGTGGCTTTATCTTGTTACAGAGCCAGGAAAAATGTGTTCTATTGCTTAACTAAGGTCCTACTTATTGTTTCTGTAGTGTGTTTCAACAAAACCTTGTGGGGGGGGGGGGGAAGGGGTATTACAATAAAATTGGGTTTTAAAGTGAACTGGAGTTTCTAAAGATAACGCTTCGAGCGTTAGTCCCTCGTCTAATGTCAGCCTTGAAAGAGTCGTCTTCCTTGAAAATAAGAAAACATCTGGCACTTTAAAAAGAAATGTGTCTATGAATGACTACTTTGGATTCTCAAGATATGCTTCAGTATTTTCCACTACAAGGGACAATTTGTGACAGCAGTCAGAGACTCTTTGATTAATACTCTTCTAATTTCTCTTTTATCACGAAACCCGCGTGTCTTTACTGAAACGGGCTTTTGATTATTCTTCTCAAGCAATTGAAGTTTTCACCACAGTTAGGAAAATTGTTTTTAAGCAAATTAATCGTCCATCTCGTAGCAGAAAACCATTCAAAGCTGTCAAGATCTTGAATAATTTACAAATGAATTTAAGATATTTTTCTCAATTGTGAAACTCGTAAATTTGGTAAAGCAACTTAAAGCGCTTCAAATTATTTTGGGAAGACTATAGCACAACAGTGAATTAGAGTATAAAATAACAGAGAACTGACGAAAAATTAAAAAAAATCAACCTAATGAAATTATCTTCAAAAAACAGAAATCTTCACAAAAAGACACTAATCGTTAAGTTATTAAACGACTTTTCACATTCCTCGAAAAATAGCTCAGTAATTATAACTGAGTTTTTAACAGGTAAAGACTCGCCATTAAAAAAATAAAAGTTACGCAAGAATCGCGTTTTCTTTCACAAAACACAAACCCTTAATACATATGATACACGATCCTCGCAGTAGATAGCGCTATCTACTGCGAGGATCGTGTATCATATGTATCTAATACCGCAGTTCAAAATATATAAACTTCATATATTTCATTGTATCTGACAAACCCTTAAATAAGAAAATCTTCCTACCCAAAGGAAAACTAGATGATGACAAAAAAAGATTTAATACAATTGCAGTGACGGCGACAGTTTCGGTGATAATAAACTTTTTCAGCAATCTTTCCACACGTGGCAGGTTCGGAATATCTCCCAGTAAGGGGCACTCATCTTGCCTTTAATTTGACGAGACCGACCTTTCTCAGAATTCAGCGAAAGAAAAGATAAACGTTTTCCAATAGCAACGGAATTTAGCTTCTCTGGAATTTTTTCTTCATATCGACAGAACGAAAACAATAAAAAACCGGACAAACTAAGAAAAGAGTGCAACTCCTTCGTCAAAACTACGGAACTTCGTTTGGTGTTAGACTGAACACCTTTACACGCTTATCTCTACAATGGTGCACAAATTGGCACGGCTTCTGCGTGTTGGTTGGAAGAATGGATGAAAGAGTAAGGCGGCTGAACTGGTTGCAGTTCCCCGGAATCCGAACAGGTAACTCAGATTTTTCTTGGTTCCTCCCTCGTTTCTCACGTAAAACATCAATACCATGAGTTTTCTATTCAGACCATTTAAAAGTGATGAAGAAAAGAACAAAACTCTCCAGTCACTATAATTTGTGTTGGATAGTTGAAACAAAACACAACTTGCTGGTTTTCACTATTGTTATTTGCTGGTCGTTAAAGTGGATCAGGTGTTTTGGAAACCCTTTGTACTAGGGAGAGGGTTTGCCACGTAATGACAATTCCAGAACAATAAGGTTGGAAGAACCACCTCGTATAGAGCATCTTTCTCGTCTATTTGTTCCTTAAGAGAGTAAATTTGCTCAAATTTTGATTTGTGTTTCTATTCAGTTTTATTGCTTAGGTATTTTTAACACTGAATTTTCGTAATAACTCTCAGAGCGTTATCAATCGATGTCATCACTGGCGGTATGCGAAAACTCGCGTTTATATCCTAAACCCGGCCTGATCACATCAAGAAAGGATTGATTACCCTTATTCGTTGTTTGATGTATGTGTTTTTTAAGGATCTCTTTAGTATTTGTAAATCTAATACAACTCCCAAACACACTGCCACGAGCACTAATTGTTTTCTGTGGAAAAGGAACACTGGTTCAGTCACACTAAGTTGGCGGGTACTTTTAGATCCTGCTTTGTTAACACAATAAATTGTCGCTTTGCTTTCTTCTATCAGGAGAACTCATTCTTCATCAATGTTCACCACACCATCAATCTTCTAAACAAGTCGAATAACACACAAAGACAAGCAGATGTAGTAAATAGGAGACTCTTGGTGCTCCATTAAATTTCCTGCCTTTCAAAGCACACACAACCCACAAATCCTCTATTCGCTCCGACGAAGGGCTAACGCTCGAAACGTCAGCTTTTGTAATCATTACGGTGGCTAATTTACAATTTCAACTTTGTTGATATAACCAAATTATTTCGTTACTCCCACCGACGCAGCCCCAAACAGTTTCTTTCGAAACTATCAGCCTTTATTCCTTTGGTAAAAGGTGTGTATTATTAGTGGCTTCTGCTGCATAAGTAATCTTACGACATATGGCGAACTACAAAAAGCAAAGACGAGAATTGGGCAGTGAAAAATAGGTAAAGATATTGAAAGGACAAAATCGAAAATGGATTCGGCATGCAAGATTCCTGTTTTTAGTTTCAGTCTTCCATCGAAACCCCAGTGAGAAGCGAATGCCGATGGATTGGCTTAAATGAAGCCTGTTTGATGATACTCGAACGACACGAGAAAGCATTGTGACAATTTGAGTGTTTTCCAAGGCTTTGAATTTTACTTTTGGTTTTTGGTTTATGGCTTTTGGTTTTTGTTTGTTTGTTTGTTTCGTTGGTTTTCGTATATGCAGTTACTTTATCAATTCCACACTTAATTGTTTCAAAATCCACTCTTCGCCGTTAGGTACTGAAGAAACAATCTCTGTGAACATTTGCGTTCAGTTTACACAATTGAATTTTTCAGTTCACGAGTGCCGCTGTAGCGGTGACCCATACTTAAGAAAGTAAGAGAAAGTTAGAGTAGAGTCTTATAGAGCATAAACTCCATGGCCATCATGAATGAGAAGAGAAAGATCTATTGTAAGATAGACGAACTGGGCTAAAAAAAGACGTCGTAGTAAATTTGTTGAAGGAGCAGTTGCACTCTGACTCCCTCCGATCGCACGGTTTGCTTCTCAAAAACATCTGTGCTGATTTATTTGTTTTTTTCCACTTGTAAAAATAATTGACCTCCCATTGAAAACTCGGACCGTTCTTCATCCTTTCCTTGGCAGTATAGACTTGGGGAGTCCCACTGCAATACCAGCATTTCTTTTAGTTGACGATGT